AAAGTATGTAAGATTTCTGAATGAAAAAATATTTTGTGTTCGTTTAAACAGGGCATTGTACCAAATCGGGCGAAAAATCTGCGTTGTTATTCAAAAGAGGGGTGCAGTAGTGCCCTATAAAATATAAATTTTTTTGTTCCGAGTATTTGCACAACATTATTTTAACTGCACTATTTACTCTAAAAAGATTTTCAAAATACTTTGCTATAAGACTGTGCTCATCGGAAAAAAAGTACTGCAACAAAGCATGATCCAGTTTGCTAAATATAGTACATGTTTGATTGCCAATTACAAAAATGCTTTTTAACTCCTCTCCTTCCATGTACTGTTATTAAAAAAATGTATTTATTGATATTGGATCATTGCCATCGGCAAAAGCAAAACAGACGCCAACGATTGACATGAATCAGTGCATCATGAAAAAAAAAATTTCACATTCTTTCCAAACAAAGTTGGAACAAAAATTCCTAAAGTGCGTTACAAGGAGTTCAGAAAAATTTGACGCATGGGACTACTGCCACTCTGTAGTTGAAATAAGAAAATATTTCACGTGAACTATGCAATAATGTGTACAAGCAAATGTCCAGGGAAATTTGGAAAAGGTCGCCGCCGCACTGACGCTACAAATGTAGATAAAGAAACGCCCACACTTTCGGTAGAAAACATGGTAGATTCTTGCATTCCAAAACAAATTAATTTTTCTCCTCAGGCCGCGTAATTGACAATCATTTGTTATCCCATAAATTCCTCGATGTACTTTCAAGAAAAAGAGAAGAAAACAAAAAAATCTCGGCTCCAATCACGCATACCGGGACCATAGTAACCTCATAAGGAAGATGTTGAGAAAAAAATGCCTCGCGCGATAGGACCGCACGTTCCCGGAAACAACACCTTTATCCACCGGGTGGCCATTATGAAAATGAATCTAACAGTTTTTCCCGACGAAAATATACTTTCGATGCTTTTTCGTTATAACGAATTACCATATATTGAAACCGAACGGTCTTCCCACACGAGAGCGTGTGACTCTTTCACCGACACAGATCATTGACCAATGACTCAAGAGTCGCATCGCCCTATGCATGAAAAAAAAAAAAAAAAAAAAAAGGATGACGGACCATCGCAATTACAACTTTCCGAGAAAACTAAATCGGTTCTCGGTATGTGACCCACATACAGGTAGGAGGAGGAGCACACACTACGCAGGCACCACCAATGGCACCCAGGGGAAATTCGTCTGGTGTCCTGTTATATACGTACACGTGCTCGGACATATCAAAATACACACCACGCCGGCGGGAGAAAGAATGTCAAGCCTTAAAGAAAAAAAAAAAAAAAAAGGTTATATATACATCCGCTTTATTTATTTCTTCGGAACCACCGCGATTCTCTGGTCGTAGGATTTCGTCGGTCAGCAGCCACGCCAGCCCGTGTACTTATACTGTTATGAGGGGGACACGTGAGAGCGCTTGTTTACTCTTATTTAATACGAAAACATTGTTGGCACGAATCCTAGATCCTCCTTGGAACACATACTTATTGATGAAAATAGGACTGCGCAATGCAAATATCAGGGTTTTTTTTACTAATCGGTCAGCTTTATCAATGATGGACGTGTTAAATGTAAGAAACCGTAAATGTAAGCCAGTGACAGCGCCAGAGGAATTTATCCATCCGTGAGAAAAAATATCACGCAAAACGGCACTTTGGCGTACGAAAAAGGTGTACTGCGCAATATTTCGATACATGTCCCTTTACGCAATGGTATATGTATACGAAAAGAAGAAAAATGGTGATGGAAAATTAGAATCTCGACAAAGTCGAGAGCTGTTATTTTTTCGTAGTTATCGGAATAATTTAGTTTACTTGGTTAGTCATTGTAATCTCAAAGTGAGATGCTTATCGATGATTCTTGTAATCAGCGGAAATACCGATCTTTAAAAGGTAATAGTAAATTGCGTCACTTACCTCAAAAGCCGTAAAGCGATTAGAAGGGCAAACAAGAAGAATTTCAATATTTACAATTTCACAGTGAAAGAAATGCTATCAGGTATGGCTTGAAGATAAAAGTTGTAGAAATACATGCCTCAATTGTAGTACACAATAGGATACAAAAAAAGATATTATTATTGAAAGTTATTTGAGAAATTAAAAAAAAAAAAAAAAAAATGTAACTGTAAAATGAAAGAATTTAAATAATTAAATTTATACTTGGCTTCGAAATAAATTAATACATTTGATTTCCTAAAATTTCGAGTTTTCCTAATGAATTGGATATATTTTTATGTTTGTGCATACATATTAGAATATTCCACTTATATGTTGCACTCAATTGGTTAAGAGCTCTTTGTTTCATTAGATTTTTCCAAAAATTTGTGAAACCAATGGGTCAAAAAATGTTTCCCACAAACAAAACTAATCGTCCTTTGGCGTGGGAAAATGTTTGGGCTCGTATGCTTTAAGCGTACGTGTGACTCATCAGAGAAAAATTTTGTAAACAAACCACTGGCTAACTGTTAACGGTCCAAAAAAAAAAAAAAAAAAAAAAAAAACCTTTGGAACCCGTTAATTGCTCGAGATGATGTAAGTTTGATAATGTTTTCAATATCCAGTATACTGGTAATTCCGATTGAAATACCTATAACTATTAATCAATCATGATCATCGTTATTTTGATTTACAGTGACAGTAAAAGAAAAAAAAGGAGAGTTTCATATAAGCTCAAAAGAGTAGAAAAATTATCGTAGCCAACAGGCTGTGAGGTAATAAAGAGAATAGGGAAAAAAGTGAGAGAGAGAGAGGGAGAAAATTCTAGAAGAATATTGAGTATTCCAAGTAAAGAGATAATCGATGGCCAACGACTGCGATGATAACGGACAAACCCCACGTGCCCATGCCCTGGACATGGATAATAAAATCGAGGAAAGCATAAATTACACTCGTAATTCCCCTACCTAGTCCACTACCTATATACATGCTACGAGACAGCGGGAGAAATTTCTCGCAAAAATTCTGTAAACAGTCGTGCCGTACGTATACAGTATTCACCGGAGGACGAATAACTGATTCTTCGAAAATTCGAATCTCATACACTTTTTTATTGCTAAACGAACGAATGGAAAAATTTTAATCAAAAAAATCGACGTAGAATAGGTAATGAACGTGAAGTAATTTGTGATTAATTATTTTGCTCGATATCATTCTTCGTTTTAATGCATTTGATTATTAGCATCATGCATGTCTACAACCACTTCTGTAATGTATAAAATATAATGTAGCATAATTAAATACATGTAATAAACGAGTTACTTTTATTGTTTTGGATTCAAAGTTTACGTGTTAGTATGCTATCAATTTACTTCAACGTTATCAGGCACGTAATGGTATAGTTAAAAAAAAAAAAAAAAAAAAAAAAAAAAAAAAAAAAAATTGTGGATTGTAATTACACTTGATACTGTAGTGATAAATAGCAATCGTACTTTATATGCACAGGTGTAGTCTTTCACAAAAATTTTTCGATTTGTACGCATGTTTCGGTGATGAAGAAAAAAAANTGGTTGCTCAATTCACGAGAACCAACCGTGAACTTATTGTTTTTTTTTTTTTTTTTTTTTTTTTTTTTTTTAAAAACAAAAAAAAAAAAAAAAAAAAATTGATAATTTTTCCATCAGACTTTCAATGTCTTGGCGTCCTACGACGGCATACATATTCGTTCCCGTTATGTCCCAGAGAGTCTTACAGTTTCTGTCTACTGAAATTTACAATTTGTAGGTATCAATTTTGCAAATTACCTAATAGTAAATTTTATGGTTACCTTACTTCAATATAGTGCAAAGAAAATTTATGCCAATAATAATACAAGCATATGAATTTCCACCCTTTTACGATAAAAGTCGAATTTAACCTTGGAGCCGCACTGTATTGTCAGAATTCGTGGGCATCCTAACCTAAAAACCAATTTTCAACGTTTTTAGAGGTTATATCACAAATTTTCTCTCTTTATATGCAATCATACAGTAGAATTGTTTTCCTTTAAATAGTTTTTTGTGTGTGCAATTTTTTTACCGAGATATTTTAAATGACAGATAAAATTCACGCATGTGGCTGGTCTTACATTACCTAAAATTTCACAGGGCACTCGACAACGACTCGATTGATTTTATTTCTGATCGTCGAAGTGAACTTAATAACGATCAAGAAATTGGGTACATTACAATGCCATGTTCGGGATACAGTGGTAAAGGCTGAATTATGCAAGTTTTTTTTTTCGTAACGGGGGTAACTGCAGTTCTCCGCGAAATCCGTATCTATAGTTGCGTTTCCCCCTTACACAACCCACGTGTTGTACTGTTATGTCAATCGACCTGGATTTTGGTTAATTTAAATTAAGGGGTCACCGATTGCAAACACCGGGACTTTTCAAGCTCAAGCAACAGAACTTTTCGTCTCGAAGGATATTTTCCATGAAATTCAGCAAGTAGTCTCGGCGTTTTTAAGGGCAATGTTCAAGTTTTTCTGAAATCAGCAACAAATTGGACTAGTGTGAAAATAGATTGATTCATACAAAAATTGTACGTATAGACTAAAAAAAAGCCTACAACGTCTTAAAGGAATTCCAAACCAAACACAGACTTTTGCAATTATTAACAATTTTTTTATTTTTTCACTGGGAGAAGAAAATCTATTTACTAGTTAAAAAAACAATTTCAACAATGGTTTTATTTTTCATAAAAATTATTCGTGAAAAAACATCTCAAGGGAGAAAACAATTTAAATACTAAAAAATAAAAATAAAAATCCGAAATTGAAAATATTTCCAGCAATAGAGAGTTGGGATGTCATTTTACAGCAAAGCACCAACCCTCTCCCTTGGCTACGTTAGATACCGATCCCCCACCTACGGGTGTTTATCCGTCCTCTGCCCCTTGTCCAATACTTTCGTTTTCTCGTTCTCCATAACATCTACACAACAGTACGTGAACGACGTTCGCTTTGGGAAGATGGTAGTCCAAATCTGTATCATCTTTTTTTTTGTTTTCCTTTACTTTGGTTTCATTTGGAAGATCAATTGGATCCAAGTAAGTGAATAAATTAATTAAAGAAAAAAATACATCTATTCACATGAATTGTCGAAATAAGTTATAGTATGATACTAAGTTAATTAAAAAAAAAAGAAACAAAAAACAAAAAAAATTCTTCCTACATGAAGCACTAAACTAATGATATGTTTTTCTTTTATATCAATTAAAAGAGGCAGAATATTACGTGAGAATCCCTGAGGCTGATATTGTTTAAGCAAATCTCTTACGTAATAGTAAAAAAAAATAAAATAAAATAGATTATCAGATATACATTACACAAAGTAACGAGATTATTTTTTAAAAATCAAGTTTAAGGTCAAAAAGAACCTGTTCCCGAAATCGTAATCCTCGTTACATGCTATGAATAATTTTGAAAAACGAGTTTCATCTTTTCAAAGGCGTATACTATATGTTCCAAACGTAGATTTAAAAATTATACAGCATTTCGTAAGCATGAATTTCGATCGAGTAAGGTAAAATACGTCTAGGTAATAATAAAAACAAAAAATTCAAGGTAATTTTAACTGTAGGATACCTGAAATATTTTATCGAGTTTTGGCAGGAAACCAAATTTAAAATTTGACAATTGAAAAAATTACATTGCTAAATATTATAACACAGTTTTACGTATAAGTAGATAATACATCGTTTTATAATTAAAACTAATCTGATTTACGAATGTAGAATGTCTACGGCTAAGCATCTTTTTTTCTTTTTTTTTTTTTTTTTCTTTCAGGTATTATTCAGGTAACATTGGTTCAAGCTCATATTAGAAAGTGTAAGGAACGTCTCAGATCAAATGATTGTAGGCAGGGGCGGTCTGAAATATTTTCTTATGGCTATGGGTGCATTTTTCTTATCGTTTAGTCGGTCCCATTTGAACTGACCGAACTATTAAAAAAACCGTGTATACGTAACGCGGGGAAACAACGTTTTTGTCCTAAGAGAAGCAAAAATTTTTTAAAAAAACGCAGCTTATCCTTTGAGCGATTTTATTTTAAATTATCATCTCACTTTTAACTATGCAAGTATACGTGTAAATACTCTCGCGCTTCCAGCGACTTAGCCGTACTGTGCACAATGTATTATGTAGATACTAAGTTCGTAGACTTTGGTGCATGTGAGTTTATTAAAATCTTCACATTTAAAAATAAATAGGAATAAACGCTCAAATGAAACAAAAAAAAGTAAATAATTATAAATCTGATGATTACTATACATTGTTTATGATTTTTTACTAGAAAAATAAATAAAAATTGTTACATAGGACTTTTCTTGTAGTCTACTATATTACTATGTAACAGTGTTTTTCATGAGGTCTTAGTTGGTAGGTAAATTTTTTCCCACCCAACGTCACAGTCAGCCGAGATGTGATTAATTTATTATTTCTGATTATATGACAATAAGTAAAGTCCATTGAGCTGTTTTATCTTAGTTCGACTTACGAATTGGACAAAAAAAAGGTGTTTTAGCAAAAAACTAAAAATTATGCTTCTGTTAGATCACAATGATGATGATCATATTTATGACGTGACGCAAGTTCTCAACTCTTTATGTCTGACGTGTTTGTAGGATCTGACGCACCAAAATAGCAAAACCTCGGCAAGGTGTCGAATGAGCAAGAGCCGAAAAATCGGCAGATTGCCGCCGGTCTACCCAAATGGCTGGTTCGGACTACTGGACAGCTTGGCATTGCGAAAAGGTCAAGTTAAACATGTTGCGGCGCTCGGTCAGAATTTCGCTGTTTTCAGGTAAGAAAGTTTTATATTTCATTTTGAGTTTTGACGTTTTCAAAACAAAGTCGGATATAAATAAATGTTATCAATACCGAGAAAAAAAATGAAATAGCTGTTTAAAGCTATTCTGCTCTTTTCATAACTAGTTTAATGAATAGACCTATTCGCTCCGAGCCGATACAGAGGTTGCGCCCCCTCTAGCCAAAATCAGGCAACATTTCTTGCATGTAAACAAACGGTTTAGAACATATATACATGCGTATAGCTGCTTGTGATTGGCTGAATAAGACAGCAGGAGAGGATCGTCGTTCTCTCTCTAGCTTGCCAAGTGCCAATCACAAGCAGCTGTACGTATGTATATATGTTCTAAACCGTTTGTTTACGTGCAATAAATGTTGCCTGATTTTGGCTAGAGGGGGCGCAACCTCTGCATCGGCTCGGAGCGAATAGAGAGTTGCTAGATTTACGTAAAAGAAATTTTAAAAATACTTGGAGGCACTTTATTTCTCGCTTCTTAATGTCCTTAAAGTTAAATGGTATTTAAATGAAAAAAAAAATCTTTGAAAGTTAGTTATCTTCTTATTACTGTTTAACTTGATGAATGAAAGCGCACAGATTAATAATTCATAAATTATCAAGTTTTTTTGTTTAAGAAGAAAAAAAACTTATTTTTCACATCGATAAATTAAATAATACTCAATAAGAGTATGAATGAATGCTTTATCACCTTACAAAGTTTGTTATATCATCTCAGTACGGTTCAACTAACCAGTTTTATTTACAATATTTCAACCATACGATAACTTTATATTTTCTACAAATACAAAGCAAGAAAATAAAATATATTTACCGCATTCAAGAAACAATCACACACTTGGATAAAAAAATTAAATGAGTTATTAAACATTTTTAATATTCATAGTTAAAAACTTAAGTATTACATTAATTATATAATTTACATAGTAAATGTTCAGATTGATATTCAATTATGGCCACTATACCAGTAGTTTGCTGTAGTTATAGATAGATAATAAAATATGAACGATTGTGCTGGATATTAGCAGTTGTTACTGTTGACATGTAAAATTGCACTAGTCACAATAACCCTTCGTCGAGATAAACTCAACCATAATTAAGATAAAATCTATACTATCATCGAGCCATAAGATTAAAATACATCAAAAACGTTAAAGTAAATCGTTATTTTAATTAAACTTACCACAGTTGGCTGTGAGCAGCACCGGCACGGCACCGCGATCGACGGTACCAATGATAATAATCCTTGTTGATAACCGTTCATCCAGACGGGAAACCATACATGACGAATTTTTGGGGGAGGAAATCCATTTTTTGAATCATCTTTTATACTGTTCACCATCACTGCACGTGAGGTACTTTGACAATGTTGGTGAATATTAATTAGGTACTTGACTCTATTTTCGTTTCAATGAACAAAACTCCATGTTGCGAGTCCACCATCAACTGCTACGGGTAACTCGAGCCCATTTGTGCCTCGATGATCATTCTGCAAGTCAAATTGTTTTTATTAAAATTTAATTCACGATGCTTTTAATTATCAACACAAACGGGGGTTGTTGCAATTCTTCCGTCATGTTGGACTTAAGCTGCGATTACATGGACTAAAAAAGAATATCCTAGTGTCTTACGTCAAGTTACGACATGAATTTTACAAGTTTAGGATATTCTTTTGGTCCATGTAATCGCAGCCTTACAATATATTTGAGGTTAGAAACATGTATTCGTAAATAAACGTTTTACACCCGCGAATTAGCTGAAGATAACTGATTAAACGATAATAACTAAAGCCAATACCTATACTTTGTTATTACACGTAATATCAAATATGAATCGTTTTAAATCCGATGCGCCGAAGTAAATAAATATCAACGTTCCAGATACACTCACGTCGTTCTTATTTTTTTAAAATCAACGAAATAAAAAATTGTGACTTGGAGTGGGGGGGTGAGTGTCACGTGACCAAATGGCGCGTATTTTTTAAACCCCCGCCAAACGAAGCAAGTCAGTTTCAAGTGCGGAAAATTTACTTTGATCGCGTTCTTCGTTATTTCAGAACTAAAAGCGGAGCTGTGCGGATTTTAGACACCTACTGCCCGCACCTCGGGGCAAATATGGCCGAAGGCGGGCGCGTCGTGGGTGAAGAGTTGGAGTGCCCCTTTCATCTCTGGCGTTTTTGCGGCGAATCTGGCCAGTGCACCAGCATCCCGTATACGGAAAAAAGTATAATAACTTCACTCTCATCGATTGGTTGCTCAATTCACGAGAACCAACCGTGAACTTATTGTTTTTTTTTTTTTTTTTTTTTTTTTTTTTTTCACNAATATACATCACTGGTGCATTTATTCTACAACCGCCGGCCGATTTTCTCGTAAATTAACTACATGTTTAGGATTTACCCTGCATTCCTGTATTATTATTATTATTATTATACTTTCATTTCCCAATCCAATTCATCAGTACCATTCTACAAAATAATATCCTTTCGAAAACCTCTCTTGACAAACAACTTAAAGGTTTTTTTTTTTTAGTTCCAATAAATGCAAGAACAAAAGTATGGGAGTGCACGGAGGCCAACGGCGTGATTTTTGTCTGGTATCACGCAGAGTCGGCTTCCCCTAGTTGGTGGCCAAAGCCGATCGAGAAAATCGCCGATGGCTCTTGGAAGTATCAAGGAAGGAACGAATTCCACTTCAATTGCCACATCCAGGTGAGATCATGTATTTCAAATCGAAAGTTCAATCAAGACAAACGTACAATTATGTTATTTTGATTTTGAAGGAGATACCGGAAAACGGTGCCGACTGGGCGCATCTGAACTCCCTTCACGGCCAATTTATAATAACCAACGGCCTTTTATCGAAGCTCGTCAAACATACGTGGACCGATGCTTCCTGGTCGGCCCATTGTAACGAAGATTTTTCCAACGGGACTGATAAACGTCAGAGCAATAAGGAGCAGAGGCACAGAGCAACGAGTTTCCTCCAACATGAGCTGGTCTTGTTTGACAAATACAAAATTTTAAAATTGAACGTGGTGGCGGATCAAATCGGACCTGGTTACGTTGAGCTTTTCCTAGATTCTTCCTTGGGGCCCTTATTTATCGTTCAGACGGTGACGCCAGTGCAGCCACTGACCCAAAGAGTGACTCACCTCATATTTTCCCCGATGCTACTTGCTCCCTACGCCAGGATGATCTTTGTTGGCGAGTGCTTGCAGTTTGTGAGGGACGCTAAAATCTGGAGTCACAAGAAGTACGTGGACAACCCGATTCTGATCAAAGAAGAGAAGTCGATCAACGCCTATCGCAGATGGTACAAGCAGTTTTACACTGAAAACAGCCCTACGTATGATTCCTGCAGAGAGTCACTTGACTGGTAGTCGGAAGATTAGATAATCCGTTGCACAATAATCTTGACACTTCATTTGGAATATTGAAAAAAAAAACAAACAAAAAAACAGTTTAATATTTGTGTGATAATATATCTCATATACTTAGTTGAAGACTTTGAAATGATAAGTACAAAGTGTAGAAATATTTTGATTTTAATATAGAATAGTATACGTGTAAGTATGAAATGCGTATGTAGTTTGTATGATTTGTAAAATGATGCTTTTATGTTATTATGTGAACTTATAAGCATAAAAATAAAAATTAGTACATACATTTTGTTTTGAGATTAATCATACGTGATATTTGTAAATAATGATGTTTTGAGCTCAACTGATACTTATATAAAATAAGAATTAAAGCACTACCTGGTGAATAAACAAAAATATTTTCATTCGTGACACATCTGTATTTATACTCATCCGACATTTGTATGAAATATAAAAATGTGGAAAAAAATTATTTGTGAAAAAAGTTTATTTAACGATAAACATTTATATACATGATTTATTTCTTTTCATACAAATATTTAGTATACAAAATTTGATGACTAAGTTATTCCGAAAAAAAAAAAAAAAAGAATAATAATAATAATAAAACTTTAGGTAAGAAAGTGGCATGATGAACGATTTTTCCATTCGAATCTCCCACGATTATCTTACCGTTGATTGGACAATCATTGTTTTAGAAAAACGTCAATTAAACAATTATACACACACCCACATATTACACAGGATATTTTTAGTTGAGCACATTTATCACACAGTCTTTGTTTCTTAGTAGACTTCCCCATGGGAAATCCCGTTCATGATAATTTATATCAAAATCCATATTAATTTAATATTATCACAAAGGAAGAACATCCTCACGATATCTCTCCAACTTTAAGGATTAGTATTTGGTCATGATACATCATACGAATTAACAAGAAAAACTTTTTTCTAAGTTACACCTGTAAAAATACAAGAAGAAACCTCGAAAAGTTTCTGTTTCCTTAATTAGCAGACCCTGAAAAAAAGTACTTATCACACAAAAAAATATACACCAACATTTCAGGCTCCGATGAGAGCTGCTTGACGTAGACAGGTAACGCGTGTTGTTTTGTTTTACAATTAATTAAACGAAGCTCTTGTAGCTGCGGACGGTACGTAGTTTATCTCGAATAGCGTGGACGAGATCACTGGGCTGGAAAACGATCGAAACGTCCCGGCCAAGCGAGGCATTCACACGTTCGCGCGCACTGCTCTCGAACAGGGGACGATTGTTGACTTCCGTTATCGTGTAGCCAACTGTGGTACCGATTTCGGCACTGGGATCAGCAGGATTGGCTATTACAGACAGACCGAGAGACTGAGCTGTTGCGGAGACACTTAGAATTTCGTTCGACGAGCCAATTTCGATGCCAAAGTCCTCGGATTCGTTACGACGAGTGAGCGTTGTGACTCGGCCGTGCGGTAATCTTCTGACTATCATTTCCACCTGCATCGTAAGAAAAAAAAAGACAAATGATTGATTCACCAAAATATAATGGTAGTTTTTATTATACTTGAATACCCACACGAGGTGATGTGTTATTTTTTATTATGTCTTTGACTGAACTAGCTCCGTTCAGTGGAACTCCAGCTACGCTTAATACTAAATCTCCAATGTGCAAAACATTGTAGAGTAAAGGATGATCCTTATGCTTCCACCCTGCGATCCTACAAAAAAACGTATTAAACATTACACGATGAAGCGCGTTCTTTTTTTATTTTGGCGAAACTTTAAAAAACAACCAACCAGACGGCACCGAAGCAATCAACGAATGCTATACCGTCCTTGCAATCTCTCCTTCCGAGTTTGAGCCTAACGCCGGCCGGATGGCTCATTTCCTTCCTCAGCTGCAGCACTTGCGTTTCTCTCAGCGTTAACTGATGCCCGAGTTGATTCCTTGCTTGTCGACTTTGACTAGAAGCGGAGACTTGAACGTTGCCGGCGGCAGAATTGGAATTCATCGACGTCGTTGTTGTTGTATCTGCATTGTCCAAACTTCGGTATTCGATTAAAGCTGCGTACTGGTCATTCTCGTCGTTCGAGCTGTGCGACCTGAAAGCAAATGTGTTTTTTTTTTTCCTTCAAATGATGACGCTCAATCGGCTTTACAGTTTCTACACGTGCGAAATGAATTCTCACCTGCTGGCTGATGTGTTGTTGTTCGATCTGGAGCTTTCCGAGTTCTGGGGATAGGACGAAGAGGCGAGGAAAACGCTCTCGTAACTAGACTCGCCGGCATTGGCGGTAGTCCCACCCAGACGAGGACTCAGAGGTATCGGTGGAGCGGGTCGATTAGGCCTCCTGATGGACGGCCTACGTTCTTCCAGAGCTATGTCGTCGAACGTAAAAACCGTGGGCGCGTTTGAAGTAGACGGCGAAGCTGAGATACCCACTGGCACCCCCGCCATTGCCGCTGCTGTTCTAGTACCGGTGCTCTAGAATTTTTACAAAATCATCGTACTATCATTTCGAAAGTATATACTCATGAGCGTTGGAAATCAGTTAATAATTACCAAGCTTGCTGGGGGTGGTGGCAGTGGACTGGTTGGGTCTCGAGTGGCGATTCTCTCGGGTGGCTTAGAATACAGATTCTCCTTAGGTCCCAGCACCTTCATCTCCGTGAGTTTTCTAGTGACCACCTGTACCCAGTCCATCATTGCCTGGTACGTGGGCGCAGCGAGCCTAAGAGCTTTGTTGTCGGCCAAGCTAACGCAGAACTCAAAATCGTTCTTGGGGGTGGCGCAAAGGGTCGGCGACAGGTGCTGAGTCGGACGCAAGGACTGCGACCAGATTGGACTGTGAGTTGTCGCCTGGCGCTGGTCGGCAAAGCCCTCGAGCCTCGGTTCTGCATCGTCGTACACGCAAAAAGCTACCCAGCACCGCGAGCTCTGTTCTTTCTCGGGTTTGCAGTCTGTACGTCGTAGCCAGCCATTTTTGTGTATCTCTCGAAATATGACCGGAGGAGTGGCTGCATTGACAGTGAGAGGGAAAAAAAAAAAAAAGTTAAAAATTCTTCGATGATACGGGAATTGATGGGAAGCAGTTGAAATGTTCACCTTCACCAGTGGATGTGGAAGCTTGGGCTTCCGAGGCAGGACTTTCCCCTCTCGACCTGTCGTCTGACCTCGCCATCTCTGTCAGCAATCTAACAGCCTGCAGCATTTTGGGCAAAGATTATCTCCCTTTTTATTCTACTCTTCCACTGCACGAAACTTGAAATCATTTTATGAACGATCGCAGTCTCTTTGGTTCAAATGGCATTTGCATTGAGAGCAACTGAAATGCAATTGATCTGAAAGGAAATAAAGATTCACAGTTAGTACAGCTCATCTTGAATAATACATTAAAAGTATCAATAATGTTGTTAGAGCAATACATTTTAATAGTTTCCGTTTTATAGCAGTACTATACTTGCAGGAAAAATCGTTTTAGTTTCGTACATAAAAGTTCTACTCGGCACATATTATTTTGAAAATAAGAAGCCGTTCTCTTGTTTCAAATGAATACTGCTTGTTTGACAAGCTGCTTGTCACGCTCTGATTGCTCAGCAAAGATAATATCACTTTTTCTTTGGTAGTTAACACTAATGAAGAGTCATTCTATAGAAACCAAACGCCTTTAGAAATGCTTACTGCTAGGAAAAAAGTTCCTTTGCATTTCTCAAGTCAATCCAACGTAAAATAATAATATGCCAATGATGAAAATGAATTAGTCTTAATAACAAGTGCTACTTTGCTCTCAATAAATATCACTCACGTTTATTTTTGTAAACAGGTCAATTACTCTATAAATTTCTTTAAAAAATGTGATCTTCTTGGAAAACTGAGAGTATAAACTCTCAATGCCTTTTGAAAGTAAATAAACAATAAATAAAGGTTTCAAAGCAAAAGCAAACATATGCTATTGTGAAAACCGCAATTTGCATGATTTCCGTTTTAAGAAAAACTTTGTGGTATACATGTAAAATTGCACAATGAAACTTGTACAGCAACCACTTGATTTTTTATTGAAGTAAAAATAATAAAAATATAAATCCTTTTACTTGCGCTCATTTTTCTCCATCTAAGATACTTGGTGAGATCTTTTATTCCTCGAGGAAGACGACGTTCTTACAACACTGCATCCAAAATCCATAAAGCAGCAGCAATACGATGACAGCTGCAAGTAGTAGGTATATCACAAGCAGGTGTGGCGCGCGCGTTATTTCGGTGACACATAGGTACTTAATCCGCTAACAGAAAAAGGAACTGTACATGGATGAGGGAGTCAAACGGCATTTGCCAACGTGCCACCAAAGTAAAGCACTGATTTTGTGTTAAAAAGCGAAACAAAGAAAGACCCCCTTCTTCCTTTTAACATCGCTGCTCTCGCTCGACTCCCACGACGCTTCTACTACCTACTCTCTCTGTATAACTCTCTGGAGTCCCTCAATCCCACAACTTTCGCACGTGATGCAACTTCCTACTGGTGTATCTCTATATCGTGCTATTCCGCGTCTGACTCAGACCGCGTTATATTTTTTTATTGGATTACTTATACCTACTTGATAAAAAAATCGTCCCAAGGCAGGGGCTCTGCGTAGGCGACGCGTTTTTTAAATGACGCCATTTTCCTGCAAAGCTTTGCCGCGTAATTTTGAAACGTTGGGCCGTAACAAACAGGGCGCTTGGAATTTAACAATTAATTTCATTTATTATTAATACAATAATAATACAGTACAAAATTTCGTCACCTACAAGTATTGAAGACTTGCTCATCAGCAAACACAAAAAACTTTTAAGATGATAATTTCACTTTTTCATCTTCGATCGCAATACCAGACACTTTTTTGAGTTTCTTATCGAACTTTGAGGTAGCTTTTTCTGCATTTTCATCTGGGAAGTTCGCGAAGTACTGGGCCAATACCCTTTTTCGCAGTTTCTTTAACGATATTTCGCCTTTTGCCGAGACAATCTCCAAAATTTTGCTCTTCCAGCTAAACAGGTCAACACCGTTTGCGGTAGATTCGTTGTTTTCTTCTTCTTGATTTCCGTTTATATTTTCAGCTTTTTTCTTGTTAGCTGGTTGATCGTTGTCATTCTCGTCTGCTTCTGCTTGTCTCTTTTTCGACTTTTTTTTCTTTTTACTTTCTTTCTCTCCATTTTCCTTAGTTTCGTTTTCTTCACTTGCATTAGGAACACCGTTCTTTTGTTTTTCTTCCATATTTCCGTTTTCTAGAATAATAATATACTTATGATAACAATCTTCAAACAATACTAAAAAAAAAAAGTTTAATTTTGTAGACTTACTGTTTGAATTATTACTACTAGCATCCTTGAAGGCTTTCTCCATTTTTTCCCAGACGCTTTCTACAACAGCCGTGTTTGCTTTGTTGTTGGACAAATTTTTAATGAAGTTATAAAACTTTTGTTTTTTTCTTGGTATGTTTTCATGCTTTGAAATGGAGTTTAATAAATTCCTTTCAGGTGCAGTCAAGTTCTTGGAGTTTGCAAGTGTATTTTGAACAATATCTATCCAGGCTTGCTGCTTCTTTTCTCCTTTGTTGGCGTTTGGCTTAGCAACATACGTGTTTCCACCATAGCGTTCGCTTTCTGAGATGCATTTTGTGTGTGCTACGTACTCATCTCCTCTGTTAGAACAATTTTGTTTTTATAATAACACTATTGCATTTATTTTTTCCAAAATAAGAACTGGTAAATTTATAGAAATTCTTACCTAAAATCTTTGTGACAATCAACACATGTAAGAAATGGAGCGGAGCGACATGCAAACTGATAATGCTTAGCTACTTTTGGCTTTTGCAGCGAATCACCACAGTGATTGCAGGTAAAACATACCATTTTAGGATTGTTTTTTTTTTATACTTATTGTTTAAGTATTTCACTGGTCTCTTTCAATTATAAAACTGCAATTAAAGTATTTGAATTAGAAATGCTAGCTCCATGGCAGTGTACAATAAGTTGCACTGATGTCTACTTGATGTTCAGTCACGTGTACACATAACCACAACTATTTACATGATAAGTTGTCTTACCTCGTTTTACTGTATTTACAACGTTTACAACAATTTCTTGCGTAAACTTATAATATCAGCAACAATAATATTTTTTTTCATAAATTTTATACCTATGCTTGATGTTTATTTAATTCACTTGAATACGCGTCTATGCACCGGCTGTTTGAATAACGAAAACAATATCCCAATGTATTGAAGCAGAAGCATCAGAACCAGAGAAATGAAGCGAAATAGAGAGCTACATTATCAACAACTTGTAAATCTCTAGATTACCGTGTACCGATAACAATGTGATTTTTTTTTTTGGAAGTTCTACGAAAACAGTATTTTTATACACAAATAAGTTTTCATTCAGCATTATTTGATCCCTAAAATTTATTCTATACTCAATCAGTACAGTAAGTAAATAACTAGTGTAGCCTCAAGAAAAACAATTTTGTACGATAAATTAGTAATATTACTCTATACGTCACGTAGCTCTCGCACATAGATACACACATTGTTGTTGTATATAATATAGTTTCTTATATGTGTATTGCAATATCTTAAAAATAAAAATTTACAGTAAGCTGAGTATAAGCAGCAGCAGCGTAAGCACTGACTAAAACACTAAGTTCGAAGTTAACTAAGTTAATAGTTTTTTCGTTGCAGTAAAGTACAGCGTATACTTATATATTTTTACAATTCCGTAACATCTAAAAAAAAAAGAAACCGAATTTGTGAAGCTGCTGGAATTGTCTGCTGGTGTGGTGGTTAGTAGGTCGTCGACACATCAACTTTGCCCGTCCTCGTCCTGCGATTTCCGGAACAACTTGACGCATCCGCTATTTTGCCACAAGAGAGACAGAGAGTATGCTATCATAATAGAAGAGTTTCACCAGGTGCGGTAATATGTGTGGTTTCTTCTTGTTCACCCCGACAAAAACTATACCCTGACCTTGACTTATGTTACAATTTCATTTTTATTTTTTCCTCGAACTCTGATAAGATAAAGATTGTGTCAGCTTGCAAAACTCGCACGTGCATATTGTCCTAAGGAATTTAATGTAGTACTTTTGTGCCCACAAAAACTATCGTTTATGTACTTCCTTTTTGTGCATTTTAATTTTTTTACGTTGAAATTTAAATGCCTTAAGGATACTTAACATCTATATTTTGGCGCATGTTTTTTGTTGTTGTTTGTATGATACTCATTGATTAAGAATTAATTATACCAGTTTGTTGGCTTTTTTACTGATAAGCTTAATTAATGTTTTATATATACCTGCTTTACTGACTATAGTGTCTATAGTTGCTCTCAAAACGGGAGTGGCGAAGAAGGTTATGTTAATGTTGATATAGTGTATATATATATATATGTATATATATACATACATGCCAAAGCTTTTCTGCTGTGTGAATTTTTGTTTTTTAATCTACTAGTACTTGTGAGTGCTTACTTATTGCATATCTTTGTAAGAAAAATCAATTCTCCAAAAGCAATGTAACAGTATCCATGTATAATGTATCTTGTCCCATAGTTGTTGCAAATCGCGACATATGTGAACTTGGTATTTTTTATAGACATGTAGTTATTTTACTTGAATACGTGATGTGAATTTTTTTTAAGCGTCGTTTTTAAAAAAGTTTTACTTTCCTTTGCAGGTGTATTTTTTTCATCACAAAAAAAACAATGGCCCAAAGTTTTTCTGAGTTGATGAAAAATCTGAAAAAGAGAGCTAGTGTCGATTTGAAACAGAAAAAACCACAAGACATAGTGGAACGACTAGCCAAGATGTATCAAGAGGGAATATATAATAAAAAAAAACAAGATTTTGCACATGCATACATATTTTTTAAGAGGTGGCAGTTATGCGTTGAGTGGTTACAAAAACGAAATTTGGATAATGAGACTGTTCAAAAACACTATTCTCCTAAACAAGTAAGTTTTATCATACTTTTATATCCGAATATGTTTTTACTTTGAATTATTGTAGATTAAATAATTTTTTTTTAGATAGAAAACGTTAGGAGTCTTATACTGGATGTGAGATTAAGGATTGAAAAAGACTACAATGCTAAGCTCAGGAGTCAAAACTCAAAGTCCAGTAGCTCACAAACTTCCGGTGCGTGTGATGATGACATCGATCTTATATTGCCTGACGTCCCTAATGATGAACCACAACCAAAAGAAAAAGATGTCAGTGATCAGTCAAAAAAAAGTACAGGTCATCAACAAATTACTTGTACCGAATTACTAGAAAGTTTGATGAAACCTAACAAACTGTCTAGTAAAAAAGTGGTTGTTATTGACATGAGAACGTCGGAAGAGTTTAGCAAATCAAGGATCTCGTTTCAAGACAATTTAATAAATATTCCAGGAAAAAATTTTGACCCTAAGTAAGATTGAATGGTAGTATGTTAAAAAGCTTTCGATACTTGCAGTAAAACCTATTAACTCATTTTTTTATCAGGTACCCAGTTAATTATCATCACAATCATCTTTTAAATGACAAAGACATAATGATTCAACTTGATACAAAAATTTCAAATTTAACGGAATTAATTGTGATTCTTGACTCAAGTTCCTCTTCTGAAAATTTGGACTGTAATAGTCCACTGGTTTTGTTTAAAAACTGTTTAGAAAAACTTAAGCTTAATTCAAAGTACAGTAAGACAGTTGTTTTGAAGGGTGGCTTTGAAGAGTGGATAAAAACTTATCCAAACTATGTTAAACCTATAGTGAAAGATCATTCTCTGGTTTTACTTGTAAGTTTCTCATTTTAACGTTGAGAGTTAGTCATAAAATTGAAATAAGCAAAAATTCAAATGACTTTTTCATTTTTAGGATGATTCTAATGATGCTTCAGGTGATATTAATTTCTTTACAACACAGAATGAGTATCCCGCATCACCGATTTTATCTGGCAGGCATAGACCTGGTAACGTTACAAAGACCTTGTCATCGATTAATTCTCTAACTTATGTAAGTACATTGATTTGTCTACGAATTATACTACGTTGATTGTATGAATTATTTTTATTGTATTCAGGATACGCCAAAAAGTATACCTATCAACAGCAATTATTTTACCCCAAATGACAACACAGGAAAATTTCCGTCTGATCGTTTACCCCATGTTACTATTCAACCTTTGGATCTAACTGATTCACAGATAATGGTAATATTAAAATAACTTTTTTCATTCAATAGAAATTTAATGATGTTAATACTGAAACGATTACGTTCCAAGTAGATGCTGAACAATAGAAACGCGTCAGTACTATTCACACCGATCCAGGACAATACGTCTTTCAGTCCGCCTGTTTCGGTGAATGGCGGCTATTACGAGAATGGAGTAAGCAGCAAACAACAAAGTTTGCTTAACCATATGAAGGAACCAAAGGTGATTTTACAAAAGTTAGACTGTCCATTGAAAAAGCCTTTTGTCGATCGAAGCAACAAGCCGGGCAACAAGAAGCTAAATGAAGATATAGCTGATGCTGTAAACGAACTAGACAAAGTCGAGGATGATATTGCAAAAATGGAAAGAGATTATCCAACATTTGATAAGTGGTTACGAGAGGACTATGAGGTTCGAATCAAGAGGAGAGACGAATTGGTAATGAAATAATTAATATTCAGGAATTTTTTTTGCGCCTTTGGTAAAACATGTCTTTGAATAATTTTACATTCTGGTTGAAGATGAAAAAATTGGCCAATCTCCGAAAATCACAGGGTAACAAGTTGTATCCTGACTTGACGAATATGTCGAACATATCGCTAGAGTCCAAGAAAAAAGTTCAATCAGTCCGACCAATGAAACCAAGTTTCAGGTATGTGAAATCCATCTCCAATTGTGGTAGTTCTGTCCTTGAGGTCTTTCATCAATTAATCCAAGTGCATAAACTTACAGTGACGAGAAGGAAAATATACAAAAGAATTGGGAGAGAGTGGAAAAGATGGTTGTGGAGTTGGAGCCTTCTACGCCACCAGACATGGAAGTTGACGATGAAGAAATTTATAAAGCGCCCTTGAAACGCTCCTACTCTAGTCCTAACCTTGTCCAGGTAAAGAAGCTAAAAGAAAACACTCACGTAAATATCGCTCTTTTTCTATTTTTTTTTTTTTTCTTGTGATTTACCCTACTATTTTTTTTTTTTTTTTTTTTTTTTTNACTCCTGTTATTTTGTTTTCTTTCCCACTCATCTGCTTGTTGCTTACATTAATGAATAAAATTTTTTAGAGATTTTTTATGAAATTAAAAAGCGCTCTAGTAATATCGTGACCTTTTATTTCTAATTTATGCTCGTTCAAACGTAGGAAAAAGAGGATCGAAGGATCATTCCTGAAATAGATAGGTCGTCAAAGCCTCGATTGGAAAGTGCGAAAAAAAAATACTTTGTGCTGGCAACTAAAGACAGGATGCACAACTTGAATGCAGTTGACAGCTCTTCTTACGTAAGTAGGGTTTTTTTTTTTTCTATTTGGTTGTATTTTTACGTTGGTGTCAACTAATTTCGATTCTAAATTATGCATGGAATCAACAACGTAGGTCCGTAATTAGTTTTAAGACCTATCACAGTCTTTTTTTTTTTTTTTTTGATTGGGCTCAAATTTGGTAGACGAAAATCGTTTTACACCAGCTATATCAATTCATATTTAAGTACAAAGTATACATCAAAGACAAAGCTTTGAAAAATTTTTTTATTTTTCACAACTTCAGCCACTTGATTTTTTTTTTTTTTTAATTTGATTATGAAATAAATGAGTGATACAACGCACGAAGCGAATAAATATTTGTTTTATAATGTTTTCATGGTTTAAAGAGGTTTACGTGTAGTAATAATTCGATCGAGTCAACTCGAATGTGTACAATCCTCAAGAGAATCAGTAATTACCAGTTGGATTTGTCAATCTCTGGCTGAAAGCAAACGAAAAAAAAAAAAAAAAAACATTGGCTATTTTTTATCTCGTGGAAATAAACTTTATTCAGTGCAGACACGGAGAAAAAAAATTATCACTCGATACGGAATCTTTAGCTTCTTTGTTTACACGTCTCTCTGTTTTTTCACCACTTGATTAGCACGTGTAGTAATCCAGTGATTGGGATTTTCTTTTGTTTTTTTACAAATAAAATGGCATTGCTTAAAATACTTTTGCTGTCAAAGTCACCGGTCGACTCGAAATTATTGTGAAAACGCTGTTTTGCTCGAAAATACCTATTTTTGCCGTTTTTTTTATTATTTTACATTCTTTCGAGATAGGTAACGAGCCCAAGAGTATAAAAATCGCGTGTGGAACGCATCGGGCACAGCCGAAACGCTTCATTGTACTTTTTTTGTCAGTCATAAAAAAAAAGAAAAAAAAAAAAAAAAACAGCTGACAACTCGACTTGACGAATTTCTCTCACCTTCAAGCACAACTGAGCAAACACAAGGCTATTGATTAATTGCCTCGCGGGCTCCGAAAATCTTGCCTCTTGTTTGCCCTTATTACCATATGCTTTTGTCATTACGAGCTTCTGAAACGACGTCAGAGAAAAAAAAGGAAAAAAAAAACAACACCAAAGGATTAAGTCGGAAGCTCGTCGCGAAATTCCTGGAGCTCCTTTCTGACGTAGGTAATTGTAATCGTATTATTTCAGATTAGAGTAACAGACGCGCGCGTGTGCCGGTCACGTTTTTTCGGGGGAGAGGAATACCCTAGCCGCACGCGACCTCTTAAACCGACGCCTTTTTTTTTTTCTTCTCTATACACGCAAACCCCTTCGTCGAAACACGATTCAAGTGCGCCGTCAGATTTTTTTTTCGACTTTTATCAATTACACTGCTCAGCTTGTTAATCGTGACGGGTGCCAATTATCATCATCATTTGTCACTCGCAATACGAAGCCCCATTGCGTAAGGCTTGTTTGCAACCACCTCGCCGTACATATTTTTTTACAGCCAATCGCTTGTATACTTTGTAGGTACACCAAGAACACTCGAGATTTTTGTTTTTTCTGCCTGTGACGATGCTCCTTTTGGACTGTTTGGCAAACAAACGTTTCAAAGTTTTTCCTCCTATTTTTTTTTTTATAGCTCGAGGATCACGAGCGCGTGGGCGTGTCGGTACATTTTGCTCACCGATGACGTAGTGGTTTGCACGTGTAATTATACGTGTATAAATAAATGAAAAAGAGAGATAGAGAGACGCAGCGGTTGTGAAGAGAAAAATACCTTCCCCAACAGCTCTTTGTTTGCCCAGCGATCTTATCGATCCGAGGGTCGCGTTAATAAAGCGCCGCCGATGCTTTTTTAAAAATAAAAGTATAGTATATAATGTATACGCGCATTGCGGGAAAAACAAGCAGATTCGTCCAAGTAGCCGCGTGTGTGCGATGCAACGGGAGATTTTATAAAAACTCGAGAAAATAGCCTCGAGACGGAGAGACCAGACTCCGCGATCGATCGCGCAAACTACGCGAAAAAAAGCCGCGTAATAGCTGTTACTTCACAACAACTTTGCGTTACCGCATCGCGTCGGTTTTTTTTTTTTCTTTTTCTTTTTTCTTCCGGCAATCTTGTTTACGTAAAGTTTGATCAAGTCGCGTGGATCATCATCATCATCTTGATCGGTATGCATAGTATCAATGGATATATTCGTATTCGCAAAGTGTACACACACGATATACGTAACTAATCGGAAAAACCAAACGAAATCCTCTTCGATCCACTTGTACTTGAAGACGCGGACTTTTAATGATTAGCTGTGACATCTATTACATACTCGTATATTAAATATAAAGATATACCTATTGTACAGAAACGAACGTATCTATAGCTTACATCTCGAGCTGGACTGCCATACATACCGATCTACTTACCGATCGATCACACATAAGAGACAACAATAGTTATACTTGTGTCGTCACGGCTTTTGCATATAAGTATATACATACTGTAAGCGTGACGTAGTTTTCATGTGCTTATGTACACCCGTCGAAAAAACAAACCTCGCTTGGAAGCATTTGTGTACTCATAAGTGCGCGATGCGTTGCAAGTCCAATATGTACCGATTTGTACGGCAAACAGTTGGGTCTCCATAAATTAAGGTACTCGCAGGATAATTGCGTGTACATTGTGTATACATTAGGTGTGCGCTCTTGTTTTTTTGTCACCCGACTTGTTTGCTCGTACTTAATACCAAAGAAGAAAAAAGAAAGAGAGAAAAAAAAAAAAGAAAAGAAAAGATGGTGCAAGGAGAAAGAAAAATATCGACCTCACTGGAGAGGTTTGCTCTTCAATGACGACTCGATGATGATTATTCTCATATCCTCATGATATGTATATATACGAGTGCGATGCGTGCACATAATATTTTTATGGATCGAGAGAGAAGAGAGGGTTTTGCGAGCGCGTGTGTTTGCCTTTGCGACGCCAGGCTTCTGTTCTCCTCGCCGCTTCATTAAATCCGTTGGCTCCAAATTGTTAATTGAACACGTTGTTGTTTCGTCAGACGGGCGACGAGGCGCCGTTATAATTTGCAGGTACACACGCATGGATCTAATAATACACGCGGTTTCGCGGCGCGAGCGCGACGACTGGCATTGATAACGTACATTATAAGTATATACATGTATGTATGGCAGGCACGCAACTCTCGTACTTGGATGCAATTATTTCCTTTTGTGTTATTTTTTAGAGAAAAAGAGCGAGAGAGAGAGAGAGAGTGTCAAAAGTGGAGCGCCGAAATATTGCGTTAATCGAGAGTAAACGCGTGTGCGCAAGTGCGGATGATGAGATTGTTTTTTTTTTTTTTTTTTTTTCCAGGGTGAATCGATGATGAGTGGTTATGACATTTATGTAAGCGACGTTTAGGCGCATGGCCCAGTTTTTCTTTTCGATCCAGAGACTGATTTTTTCTGTACCAGTTTTAGATCAATATTTTGCGGCTTTTGCAATGTTTGCCACATCAAAAAAAAAAAAAAAAAACTTTTATTTTTTATTGTCTATAGATGTACATGCCCGATGTCAAACCATCGGATAATGATGTAAAAACTAAATTTCACACCAAATTTGTGCCCAATTGAATGTAAAATTTTTGAAATAGTCGGGGAAACTACACATGTCTTTGTATGAAACACCAAAAATAGACGGGATTACTTTTGCGTGGTTGGACCGTACTGTGAGAGACAGTCCTCCCTAAAAATCGGCAGGATGAGACTCGAGACAGTCAGATCGATGATCTTGACACATAGCCGACCGGTATTATCTCAGCATACCGATCACGCGTATAGGTACACACAAGTATACGGAATAAGAGAGGCTCGCGCACCGGAGAGATTAAAAAAAGAGTGGGGCGAGAGAGTGAGTTGCTCCCACCTCCTCCTCGCGTGACGCGGTCGCGCCTAACGTGGAATGATTTCCTTATCACGCGTCAGTTGGCTGCTGGCAGCAAAGCTCGAGCGACGCTCCTGCACTTGATTTTCTTTCTCTCTGGGCTTGAGCTGTTGACCGGCTGCTACTGCAGTACTCGTGTACACCTACTCCATTATACCGGTCATAGACGCTCTCTGCTGCTGCCGCGCCTACACACAACTAGTTCGCGAGTCGCTACAATCGAGGTGACGAGTTGACTTTTCGATCGTCCGATCGCCTTGGTTTTTTCTTTTTTCCCCCCTCGTTTCATTCAAAGTACTTTAACGGAACTTTACTGAGCCTTCAACATGGTGCAGATCAAGTTCTTCAACGTCGTTGACAAGCGCAATCCTGTAAGTATATGATGGCCCACAATTAAGTGGATTCGCATAAATTTACTTTTTTTCATTTCGATTGCCCCAATGGGTTCGGTGATTTTTAACGCGAGGAACATTATTTGCCGCAAAGAATTTGCAGATTGATAAACAATTTTCAGTATTCATATGTTGGTTTTTTTTTTTTTTTTTTTTTTTTACACCCAAATGGTAACAAATTCGAGACGCCAAACTTGATATTAACGACTCGGGGATTTTGCCAAGGAAAATAAAGATAAAAGCTCGGCCTTTACTTCTTCCTCAAACGCTGCCGGTAAACAAATCGGTTTGGACAGAAAAAAAAAAAGATTTACGAAGACGAACGAAAATAACACTCAGAGGTTTTAATTGAATTATTTTGCTTTTGTTTGCTTTTTTGCTTTTTTCCTTCAATAATCTCGTAATCAGAGAACGAGATGCAATCCATCCCAAAAACGAAAGGGTTCATTTTGGCTCTTATCGGAATTAAATTAATTCAACAGCNTTGATGTAAAAGACAAATTCTTATATGCACGAGACTTTTTTTTTTAATTTGGAAATATTACCTTAATCATTTGAGGCATCATTTTGTAATTTAAAACTTTTTCAACACATTCAACGATAAAAATTTTAAATAACTTTACGGATGTAAAAAAAAAAAAAAACAATTAAGTAAATGTTCTTTTATCATTAAAAACGTCATCCAAAGAATGTAATTGTCGTACTCTTAAAAATATCATGACTGATTTTTTAAGTACGATACACGGTAATTTTTTGTAACTTTTAGAAAGTCGAGTTCTTTGGTATATAGTTCGTAGTAAATCATCATCATCAAATTTGTAATTGAAAAATATAAAAAAAAATTATATTAATCAAACACACCTTGGACAGAATAAAAGAAACTTGTAAGCACGATTGAAATGACTATTAAATAGTATACTAAATATATGTTAGTAACGTGTTTACTCTGAACTACAAAAAAAAGACGAAAAGTCTCGTGCACATGTCTATCAGGTATAACGATTAATTACCGATTACGAAGCAGGGAAATAATTTCTCTTGCGCCCGCGCCTCCCCGAATCCGTCCATATGTACACAAGTCTAGTGTCATCGGACGATTTACAAAGCCGGTGGGCGTCAATACGAGTGTCCGTGCATTTGCATACGCGTACGTAAGAATTACAAGAACCCACGTCGAAGCGCGCGTGTACGATGCCGGAGGTAAAAAAAAAAAAAAAAAAAAAAAAGAAAGGAATGCCGAGTGACCTTCCGATCTTTCTTTCTTTTCTTTCACAACGAGCTGACCGCGCTTATCATCGCGCGATTCTCCAAAGTTATGCTGCATACACACGTATACTCCGTAAACCCGTGTGGTGTTAAAGTATACACGATTAATTAAACTTGTAGTCGAAATTTCTGTTTTTCACAAAATACATCGCGTTTGCGCTGATAAGAGTTTAAAGAGTAAAGGTATTTAATTATAGTTCCACTAAACTGGACACTTTTTAACGGAAAAAACCCAATGCAGGAAAGCTGCGGAGTGAATAAACTCGGCTGTCACAGATTTCACGCGCTTACAAGAGTGTAAAATCTGCGATAGAAATACGTTACTCTCTACGGTCCAATTGTTTTGTTCAACAAGTTTGGCGATATTTCATCAAAAACATAAATTTCATACATTGTATGAGCGCATTACTTGAAGAAAGGGAAAGAGGACGCGTGTGCGCGGGACAAACATTTTTTACACGCATGTGTACGTAGGTATACATACGCGTTAATCTATCTGCTCCAATTTATCGAATCGATAACGCGTCGCGATTAATAAAATAATTGTAACATTCCTTTGCAGTGTGCACGCTTCATCAAATTTGTTTTAACGAATCTTAACGACGCTCTGCGTATCGTTCGTGTAGCGCGATATAATTGACCGCCGGGCTGCTAACAAATATAAATGATGATACGGAGTGCTCGACTTGGGTTTTTTTTTTCCTTTTTTTTACAAGATATATTATAAATGTTTCTAGTCTCGGGAATTTTACTCGGTGACTTCCTTACCGCGAAAAATCCGTCCGTTGCGTCACCACACACACCACCTTACGTAACTTCGATAAATTATGGTCTTGGACACACGTCCGTATTTCCGCGGAAAGAAATTCATTATTATGTGCAACTATGGCCTCGGCTATAATGCTTAGGCATACATAGGCATGTACACGTATCAGTGCTTTTGGAAAAAATAGTTCACTCGATAATCTCAATGTCATTTACCACCTTTTATCATCTATTTTTGGTTGTACAATAAAAATTACATGTGTGTGTGTAAGTGTGCTCTACTGATCAAATTTGACGAGTTGGCTGATACCGAGCGACACACTCTTTACGGTTCTGTGTGTTTGTGCTGACATTGAAAATTCGTCGAGGCTTCCCGCCTTTCTTCTTCACTTACAATCGCTGTACAAATTTACAGAGTCACGGTTACGCTAACTTTTTCTTCTTATTTTTTTTTCCGTAAGTACATAACATACCCATCATGTACACGTCTGACGGAAAAGTATGAGGAATTTTTCATACTTTTTTTTTTTTTTTTTGTCCCAGAGCTACGAAACGATTTTCCTCGATCGCTGCACACCTTCGCGCCGGTTTATCTATCCGTAGCTATGTAAAATTATGCATATATCAACGACAATCGTGTCTTCAATGCACAGATGCACCTTTGATGTATAAAAACGCGTATCAGTGGGTTATCGCCACACGCATTATCATTGTTTCGTAAATAATCACACGGCATTTCGCAAAGGAATAACGATAAATCGAGTAATCGATCGATGGATCAACGATTTCGCCTCTCCCTCGAGATACATGTGATGGCTCAACAATTTATCTTCATGCATGAGCGTGCATTAGTGTATATATGATTGGAATCTCGTCGTGCCCAAGTAGATAATACATTTTACGTAATATTCGGGCATATACAAAATTAAATGCCGCCGTCCCTAATGAAAAAGAAAAAAAAAATAAAATAAAATAAAATAAAGAGGGCTGATAACAGCGATCGATCGTTGGAAAATTTTCCAGGTTCCCGTGACGTCGTAGGTACACATTGTTTTTTTTTTCACGCCAGTGTACTTAACAGCGGAGTAAATAAATCCTTAGCCCGCGCGATACGTGTATGCGTTGTACACACACGTATCTGGAGGAAAAAAAGGATTATTAGCGTGACGTCGCGATGCCACCTTACGCGCGTCATTATAATATTTGCATGTAATAACAGAGCATATAATGATAAATAATCCGAACTACACGTGTACGCGTATTATATGTGCACCGGTACGTCCGTTCAAATGCAATAAAATAAAACGAGTATGACAATGATTATGTTGTGTGCTGTATATAACGCGAAGCTCTAGGGCTTCCCAATCCAATATTGGCCCCTCGGCTCTTTCAGGTTCAGTGTCGTTTGGCTCTCGCGCGCGAGTATACTTGTATTATATATATGCACGAGCATCGGGGGGGGGGCAAAGGTTAAGGATGAGCTCGGCCGACTCGTGCAGTCGTCGCCGCGGCCACCCGTTCAAGGCAGGAGTTCGCGGACATGGTCAACCTGGGCAGTAAGCTCGTGCCCCATTACATCGTTTGTTACTTCAAAAAGGTCCGCTCGGCCTATATAAAATATACTCTTCTTTTCTTTCCTCGCGATTTAGGGGCCGATTATTCGCTTGGGCTTATCGCGCACGAAAGTCGAAAAGAAAAAGTGTATAATGGCATTCCGACGCGATAAGCGCGGCGATAACGAGTTTAATGCCGATCATTATTATTATCATCATCATCATTGTCAATGCGAGAAATCGATTATCTTTATTCGAAATTACCGCGAAAGGAGTGTACAATCAAAAGTGCCTTTTTTCTTTTATCGAAATAGTAAATACCGAATTACCTCTGTGGCGGTCATTTCATGTGGCCAGCCTTCGCTATAGCGCGTGTAATTAATCGTACCTCAAACATATAAGTGCAAAACCCAATTTTCGGGGGGGGTGGTACGCGATGTAAATTCGCGCGATGAGCTCCTCAAGCTTTTCTGACTCGGACGGGCCCCATTTTTTAATTTTCCATAAAGGGGATGCGCGACGGACTTGTTTGATTATCTTCTGCATCGCGGCGCCACGCGCGTTTATTCTTTTTCTGCATCATCATCGCAGTGATTTTCGATAAGAGCCAAGTTCATCGCCACAGCGCCGACAATGGGGCGTAATTCGGTCGCACCGATTACGCGATCGGCGTATAGGAAAAACAAATTTGCAGGAAAATCGTTCGTTGCGCCGATGACTTTTCCAGGCTCCAAAGTTCATTGCAACGCTCGGGCAACGTCACGGAGTGGGTGCGCGAGTAAATATTTACCCACCCGGTGATTCGTCCTCTCGCTCGTTTTTACGATAAGAAGAGAAAAAAAAGGCGACTCGTGCTATCGCCGGTAAACATCGTCTGGATTTTAATTAATTAAATTTAATCAACTATCAATTAAACATAAAGATCTTGCATATGTGCGGAGATCGTTTCGCTGACGCACGGCCGTACGCCGATGATGAAACGGCTTATCTCTATGCGTACCCACGGGAGATAAGCGTCACTTGGTGCACGTGATCATCGCCCGCTTAGATTTTCCATCGGGTGTGCGAGGCCACGTTATTAAGTACAATAAACAGGTTTTTGCGATAACGACCGTAAGACCGAGAGAGATTGTATGGTTTTAAAAACGAGACAATTGTGTACCAACAATCGAAAGATTATCAAGTGTAACAAACGTCTAACGAATTGTCATACTTTCAGCATCCGGGTATAACGGGCCTGAAGAATTTGGGCAACTCGTGCTACATGAACAGTATCATCCAGTGCCTGAGCAACACCGAATACCTGGCCAATTACTTCAACGAAAACGCGTACACGGACGATCTCAAGGTGGAGAAGAACTTTACTTGCGTGGCCGAGGAAGTGGCGCACGTTGTCAAGGCCCTCTGGAGGGGCACCTACAAGAGCATATCACCTTTGGATCTCAAGGTCAGATGATACAAATCATGCAACTGATTTATTTCTTTATTTGGGTCGAGGAGAGCGTTTGTTTCTTTTGTTTGTTTATTTATTTATTTACTTTTTTTTTTTT